AATTATCATTAGTCAATTTGTTTTAATTTATTATATATTTGAGAGACGTTAAAAAAAGTTGTCTTTTTACATTTACTTCTGCACACTAACCAAAGCAACAGCAATAATTATTCACTATAAGCAACTTTGCATTAATGGAGCACACTTATAATTTTAACTACTTGCTGAGAGGACTTAGTCTACAACCCACAGTTGGATGCAATTCTCATACGTGGACAAGAAAATAACGTGAGATGTCATCTTTAAGATGCTCTCTTCAAACTGACCAATCAACGGTCATGAACATGGCACATTCTCTTCACCAGCCAACGCTTATTGTCCGTTTACAATTGAAAGAACTCCAAAGTAAATATATATAGGCTGCAACTCATGCAAGTATACTGACCTTTCTTATCGCTGGTGGGTGCTGGAATGGCCAGACCCTGACACGTGACAATGACAAAAACCACCCGCAGGAAAAAGGACATGGACGCCATGACGTCATTTCCTGTTGAAATTTAGCAAAATAATCGGAAGAAACAAATTCACAAAAAATGACATACATGAGATCATGAAAGTCAAAGGTAAACAAATGAAGCCGTTGACCTAGTACGACGTCAAAGTTCTGGCATTGCTAGACAAGGCAAAGAGTGCTCAGAGAATTGGCCACTGAAATCACTCCTGCACTGACAATCCTCTTCCATTCGTCGCTGTGAACAGGCAGTGTTCCAGCAGACTGGCGAAGAGCGCATGCCACTCCAATCTACAAGAAAGGGGAGCATTCCGACCTTGCCAACTACCACCCGGTATCCCTCATCAGCGTGATATGCAAACAATTGGAGCACATAATGGCAAACGCAGTCAATGGAGCATCTTGAAAGCCAAAATATGCCCAATGGCTGTCGACATGGCTTCCGAGTCAATAGATCATGTGAGACCCAGCTCTTTGAATTTTCAGAAGACTTGATGACCAATCTGGAGAACCACAAGCAAACTGACGTGCTAGTAATGGACTTCTCAAAGTCAAGTGTCCGTGTCAATCATAGTTTGTTTTAACACAAAATTCAGAGATATGGGATCCAAGGCACCACTAAAACATGGATCTCTAGCTTCCTCAGCAACCGATGCAAGGCAGTAGTGTTTGACGGTACAAGCTCCTCCTTCGTCGGTGCTAAGTCAGTGGTCTTACAGGGCTCGGTGCTAGGCCCCTGTTTGTTCCTAGCATACACCAATGACCTACACGAGACACTGAAATCCTAATTAAGACTGGTTGTAGAGGACACGGTGGTGTATAGGACGATCGCCAAAAGATCTGACCAGGACCAGCTGCAACAGGATCTCAATCTGTTATCTGATTGGGAGATGAGCTAGGACATGGAATTTCATCCTATCAAGTTCCAGACATTGTCAGTCTCTAGAATGTGTACTCCTCTACACCACCATTATGAACTGCGTGGGGCATATACTTCAGCCAGTTTCCCCCTTAAAGTACCTCGGTGTTACCCTTCAAAGAGAGGTGCGCTGGGACAAGCATATTAACAATGTGCTCTTAAGCCCCCTTAAGCTGAAATCTAAAGATCGGCAGCTCCAGTGTGAAAGAAAAAGCATCTAAAGACTTTGCCCGGCCGCTTTTTAAATTACGCATCTTCACTCTGGGACCCATTTACCCAGACGAGCATCGACAGGTTGGAATAAAATTACAAATCTTCTTAAATAAACGTACAGTGTTTTCAAAACTTTATTGATGTGATGCAAAACTTAACTAATAAGTTCTGGTCTTTTGTAACATAAGCATAGTTGGAAAAACACTGCAATAAAGTGATTTGCCAAAGTTTTGCAAGAGTTATTATTATATAGATTTGTGAAATGAACTATCTTCAATGTCTGTTATAAAATCTCCTCATATATTAACACACTATAGAACTCATAGGATGGGTCTATAGCAAACTCCAATAAAATGCGTCAACCTTACACAAAATTTGAATGGACCTAAATATTACCATTAAAAAAAATGTTCATAATAAATTCTAACCATTATATGACGCACTTAGTCTTAAGAAAACGAAAGTGGAAATAAGAAATATAAAACAATATTGAAAAATTAACAAACACTAATCTGAATAAATAACAAAACTATTGACGTCATAAAACTGCCCTTGAACTATTATTTGGTTGTCCTTCTTAAATATTCAGGAACTATAATAAGAATGTTTTTAAAATGGTCTTTTGTATTTATTTATATATATATATTTTTTGTTGATGTTGTTCCGTCGAAGGCGTTTGCCGAAACGTTTGCATTTTGTATTATGTATGCTCAGTATTAAAGCTTAACCTATGTTGTTCTATTTACGCAACACGTCTGCGTCTCATGGATCTACTTTGAAAGCTTTATCTCAGCCCAACACTCTTATAACTAGTTAAAGAAACTATTAAAATTGTCCAACCAATCTTTCGTTGCAGTGGTATATATCTATATCTTGTTGCAAGAGGATGGATATCTCTAAATTCTTACTGGAACCACGTGAAACAGTTTAAGTTTCATTAAAACCGTTATGATGTACAGTTTAGCAACTTACTTAATGTAAACATGATGTACATATCCCATCAGCCCTGTAAACAGGTGCGGCAATGTTTCACTCACTGATCAACACAAAATGACTACAGTTTTGTTTAGAGGAAAAAAACCCACCAATTTGGGAACCCGTGTGTTCAAAGTTTTAACTATTTCAAACGAATGCCTTAGTACAAGGCTTCTCAAATTCACCTATGGGACGGTCCGGGCGCTAGCTATCTACATTGCCGAGGGCACCAGTCCCTATATTGTTTTTAATAATTATTTTTGACATTTTTAAATTTGTCACCATGGGCAGACAAGGGACTGAAGACTCACAGAACGACGCCAGACCACTGAGCACCACTTTGAGCATCACTGCCTTACGTCATTAAAGCCAGCCCACTTGAACATTGAGTAATTCCCCCTTTTTAAAAAAGTGACGTCTGATAAACTGACAGTGGTATAGTACCCCGGATAAAGGGAAGATAACCAGCCTGTTGTCTCGGTATAGTACCCCAGATAAAGGGAAGATAACCAGCCTGTTGTCTCGCCCTTTGACATTGTAACATAGGGAAGAGCCATAATTTTTTAATTTTTTTTTAAAGTTTTAAGTTGGTACTCGAGTTTGTTATTCGGACACAAGCGACCTCTGATAGGATCTTGGAGATGTTAGGGAAAAGACAAAAATGCAATTTAAGGCCGTTAATGCTCCTATTGTTGTATAATTTAATATAACTGTTATCTCAGTCGTGACTTCAAAAAAAAATAATACTAATAATTAAAATGCAAATAATTGTTTCGATCAATTAAGTCTACGATAGACTTAATATTAGGTTAGTCGTGTTAAAATTGTCCCATTAAAGTTGTTAACAAAGACAAGATTTTTATTCTAGTAGCTTACAGCACGATTGTGTTTGGGCCATTTCTACTTATAACTGTGGACTTATAAGGCAGGAATGCACGCGAGACAAAAGCGCCACATTGTGTAAGGCTGCAATGTGCTGCGTAAGACTACAATGTGCTGTGTAAGACTACAATGTGCTGTGTAAGACTACAATGTGCTGTGTAAGACTACAATGTGCTGTGTAAGACTACAATGTGCCATCTAGACAAAAACAACACCACCTTCTTCTGAATAGGTCAAGTGCTGCAGATACAAACATCTTGACATTCCCGATTACCTCTCAAATGTCCCGTCTCAGTATGAAGGTGTGCTTGGATCAAAAGGTACCAGGCGCTTGGGACACACTGTGCTTGGGTCACACTGTGCTTGGGTCACACTGTGCTTGGGTCACAAAGTACTTGGGTCACCTCTACAGTAACAGAGGGCTCAATAAACGTATCCTTTTTACATGCTTAGAGGTAAGGAACAACAGTGTTATCACCCCGAGGTACACATTTAACAATGACACATTTTCTCATAGAATGCGATTAAACCAATAGTTTAGAAAATCTGAACACAAAGGTTTTTGGTGGAGAGCATTCATTTCAATTCCGACAACGTCCTGTGACGTCATACATGAGATTAAAAGATGAATTGGAGGAAATGAATTTTCGGTTACATTGTCAATACTTTATTATTTCATTTTCTTTTACAGAATGTCTTGTCATGGGCAACGAAAATATGTGTCAAGTTTCAGCTCGATAGGATGACGGGAAGTTGGCGGATTACCTTCCCATTGACAAAGCAGGATCAACAGATTTTTTGGGGTGGGGCTTAAAATTTGATAGAATGAGTTGTCATCGGCAAAGAGTCTATGTGGCAAGTTTCAGCTCGATAGGTTCGTGGGAAGTGAATCTATTAACCGTCCGGAAACTTTGCCAGCCAAAAACAACGCACGAACAAAAGTGAAGTTAGTATAAAGGATTTAAAAAGAACTCGCCATATTTTATATTACTATTATTATTATTTTTTTTTTGACGTGTTAGAACTGGATTAACAATCTTAGCTTGAATGAGCCCGTGTCAACCCGGTGTACACGCTCAGCCCACCAACAGATGCTTTTTTTAAAAGGCTTAAATCTAGTTTTAGACGTTCCCCCCCCCCTCCAAGCCTATTCATGATCCCGCATACATGTGTAACACTGGGAAAAGTTCATCTCTGCACACACAAAAACGTCCATCAATTGTAAGGCGTTCTGTTGAAATGTCCGAGGTCTAAAAAAAAATTAAAAATTATGTCAATAATGCAGTGGTTCTTAACCTTTTTGGAGGTCCTGAACACCGTCAGTTTCATATGCGCATTCACCGAACCCTTCTTAATAGGAGAAATAAAATATGATTTTTTTTTTCTGATTTTTTTTTACCTCCGCCGAACCCCTGAGTCTGGCTTACCAAATCCCTTGGGTTCGACAAGGGTTTCGGTCGAACCTAGATTAAGAACCACTGCAATAATGTATTCTTAGACCAATTCATAACTTTTAATGTCCAAACACATCTTTCATAAATGAGAATTCAACACTCGACAGTCTGAGGTACATCCGAAAAATTTTATTTAATTTTTTTTTTTTTAAATCAACAACATAACAAGTCACCATTCCTTGCGTGAAATAAAATACGATAAAAAAAGAGAAATGAAATGTTTATTGTAAAAGTGTGTAAGAAAAAAAAAAGATCCGCGAACTTTTAGAGTCTTACAGTCTTTCTGTGTCTTTTAATGAGTGGGATGACTGTTGAAAAACGCACGCCTGGTACACACTGCCACAGTTGAACGTCAAGTCCTAATGGCCACATGTATCTGGGACCTGATAAGGTTGTGTTATATTTGGTGTCGCCGTCACTCCGTAGATCCACTGTAAAATATGAACGAACGATAACCACATGTACATTTGATGTGATTAAATAAATTTGTAAATGTCTGAGAACTGAGTCAAGATTGGAACATGTCCAGCCGGCGTCACCTTGTTAAGTAAAAAAAATAATTTAAAAACATCATTCCAATTAATCTTGTGATTTGAAACCGCTCATCACTTAATTTGTGACGTGATCATTTCTGATCAGATTTATAAAATCTAATTTTATTCCCATAATCTTGAGAATTTTGAGAATTGCTTCTTAAGTAGCCCATGACAAGGTTATGTTACTTCAGCTACCATTATTGATTTGCGCTACCCATGCTAAACTTTTCCAAATCAAAATTATCAATAGATGAGATATGCCATTCCCCACTTTTTATTTCCCATTAAATGTGATATGGCATAAGTTAAATTTCTTTGATTGAAATCCCTTATTTATTTTAAGTATGATTCTTCACATATGAAAGCCTTGTGGGAGAAGTTAATCATATAACTGCTCGTTAAGTCAATCCTAAGGCCAACTCATCCGATTAAAAGACATTCTATTTTTTTTAACACAAGCATCCTTTTCTTTTCAGGGTTTTAAAAACACATTTCTTCCAATAAAGCCTTTCATTTGCAACCAGTGAAGTATCCCCCTTGAAAACCATGCAAAGTAACAACGCGAACACCTCTGAAACATAGGAGCCAGAATGATCACTTCATTGATTGTGGGCCCTCAAAATATAGAAGAGGAAGGAGACTTGTTTAATTCTGAGCTACGAACAGCCCTACCTCAGGGTTGGGGTTCAGCCAGCAGAGGTTGAGGATGTTGGAGTCCTCCATGTTCTTCCGGAAGCTGCTCCTCACCACGGGACTGGACCAGTCCTTTGTTTGAAGTGCCCCGTACAACTTGTCCCCGGCATACTCTCCGCTGTACTCAAATCTAGGTCACGGATATCAAACATTAACGCTGTTACAATCTACCCCTTTACAGCGGTGTTCCCTCAAACTGAACCATCGTTGTTTTAGGAAATGTATCCATTAAAAAATAGAAACCCTTTTCACACCCGCATAAGTAGTAACATTGTGACTGTGGACCAAATATGTACTGTAGGTCTCTATATGTTAATGTTTTCCGATGTCTCTCGCTACAAATTAATTTATATTTGTGTTTTCTCACCTGGATAGACACCTTGAAATTGGAGTTTTTGGATAGAAGACCAGGAACGAGAGGCACATCTCGTATGTAGTTTTCAGTCCACCCTGGAGGTCACGTCAGTCATATATATATATATATATATACACACACATATATACCAGTTATTATCATTAGAAGTATTAATCGTGTATTTTAAGATACTTATGAACAGTTGCGAGCGTGTCGTAAAGAGATTTCTCTAAAAATATCGATAACTTTTGAATAATTATAGCATTATATGTATCTAATAAGGTACTCCACATTAACCTTCTGTAAGCGTTATTCAAATCTATCTATACGTCTGGCTTACCTAAGCCTTACACATGCAGGTGTATCTTTTAAGTGAAGAAAGGCAAATATAATTAAAGCATTGTGAGTATCTAATAAGTTACGCCACATACATGTTCTGTAAATGTTATTCAAATCTATCTATACTTTTAGCTTTGCCTAAGCCTTACATAGGTAGGGGATGTCCTTTTGGTGGAATCATAGTCACATTCAACAATCAAGCTGTCGCCCTGTGAATCAATACATCACATGGTGTTTATTGCGTCCCAATAATAACCACACAAAAAAATAAGAAGAAAGTAAGTCTTGTTAAGTTCAAATTGGTGACATCTAAATTATATTAAGAGTAATCAAGTAATCGAATCAACAGTGTTGTAAAATAATATCGATTCTGTTTCATGTTGTAACTGTTCTTAACTTTCTTAACTTTTAAAAAAAAATACAATAATATTACACAAAAAGAGAAGAGCTCCCAGGATTGGCCCATTTTTAAAAATCACAATAGATTCAAAAGTCATTTCATAAAATCGTCGCCGCGTTTTCACATATCACGTGACATACCCAGCTGTTCCCCATCATACCTTCTTGATGGTCCTCTCTTCCTTCAACTTTCTCATCTCCTGGTAGTTAAAATCGTAACTGTTGTCCTCCATGATGGGCGGCAGCTCCACCCCATTCCGGAAGTGACGTGTTCTCAACTTCCTGCCCAGGAGATGGGCATGAAGCAAGTTGGCGAATATGTGGATCTCTTGATCTCCCACACCCTGGCAAGTTATGGATGAGAACAGTGTAACTAAGGATTGAATTTATATAAAACAACTCTGTTGTGATTATAGGGATAATTTTAAATCACTGATCAGGATAATCCAATACAACGTCACATGAAATTAGCCAGTAACCTACTACTTAGCCAGGGTACCTCATTGACCCAAATGTCACATAATTGTCAAATCAATATACTGACCCCAACCACGTTTCAGTGACGCTCAGTACAACTGCTATGACAATATCCACTACATATCTACATTGTCAGTACAACTGATTCGGCAATAACCATTTGATCAGCTACTTACCTGGTCGACACAGCTGCTCTGACAGTAACCTCTCATGACAAAGCTGCTCTCGTACGGAGGTACAACAAGATTCATGTCAACTGCCAGACCGGCCTCAATGATACCCGCATCGTGCTGTCTCAGCTGTTTGGTCAAGTACAGGCGCATGCCGGAGTTGTCCACAAAATCTGAAGACAGGATGAAGACAGGATGAAGACAGGATGAAGACAGGATGAAGACAGGATGAAGACATTATGAAGACAGGATGAAGACATTATGAAGACAGGATGAAGACAGGATGAAGACAGGATGAAGACATTATGAAGACATGATGAAGAAAAGAAAGAATTGGTAGATAAGGACATAATAAAATGTTATAATTGATTGACTGAAGTTAACTGTTACATTATTTGGTATTATTTTAATATTACAGATATATAACATTTTTAAAAATAAGTTAAAAAATGTGTTTTTAAAACCTTCTCTCACTCCACACTCACAATCGGGCACTGAGTTGCAATTTTGTTTAAAATTTCTTGCCACACCCCCAACAGAGCGCTGTGCGATCTTTAAATGGCCACACCACGCCCCCAAATGGCTTTGAGTGACAGTTCAAAAATCTGTCCACGTCACCCAGCACCACCCTGACCTCAACATGACTGCCAATAACAGTCTTCCCGTCACCCAGCACCACCCTGACCTCAACATGACTGCCAATAATAGTTTTTCAAATACGTCTAGCCGACCAAAACCAACCAGTTTATTCTTTTTTTAAAATATTATTTTTTAAAATAACTATTATTTGTATTATTATTTTGTAATTTTTTTTTATCAAAGTCAAAGGATTCACAATAATAGTTGTGTTGTTTTTTTTTTAATCCCAGAAATAAGATGACACAATTCGTTAAGACATAGGCGGCTTCTTGTCTTTTCAATGTATATATATTTTTAATCTTTTAGTATTTAGCATATTCTTGTTATTTTTAAAATTTTTCTTCATGTGCAGTGAGGAGACTAAAGAGGTGAGCCATGAGCCGTGTTAACTGATTTTGTTCCATCCCGACCAGAGCTGTTGGTTGGCGTGTTGCTGATAAGGGTCATGGAGGTCTAGACCCCCATCCCTGAGTGGAAGCACTCCTCCCCCCCGGCTTCCCCCACTCCATCCCCCCCATCCCACCCCATTCGGACTTGGTAAATAATGGATGTGTGTGTCATGCTAGTCATGGTATTTGTGTTGAATTTGGGATTTGACTATGAATATTAATCATGCAAAAATTTACAGTAAAAAAAAATAGTTAGAACATTGTTGAACATTCCATGATAATATTGATAAGAGACGATAAAAATTTTGCTTAAACTCAATACCTCTTCACATTATTAAGTAAGTCCAATTATAAAATCCATTTTTTTTAAAATGTGATTTAGTACAACTTAAATTTTTTTTTTAGTTTTAATCCTCAAAAATTGATAATTTGGATTAGAGGGGGTTATGCCTGTGCGGCTAATCGATCATTTCATACCATGCTATTTGACTGGAGTTCAGTTCCAGCCAATGGCAAACATTTCAGGTATATTTATTTTCCTCCTAAGAAAAATCCTTTGAAAATATATATGTAAAGAACTATAAAACTATACAGACAAATATCCCGTAGTTATATTTTGTTACCTGGAGACATTCAAATTCCAATTCAAAGCGGAAGCAGAGGTTTTCTCAAATCCAAACCCCACCCGCCCCCCCCCCCCGGGCCACCCCGTGTGGCAGTGTGCCACTTCTTACCGTCCCGTAGTTATATTTTGTTCCCTGGAAACATTCAAATTCCAATTCAAAGCGGAAGCAGAGGTTTTCTCAAACCCAAACCCCCCCCCCCCCCCCCCCCCGGGCCACCCCGTGTGGCAGTGTGCCACTTCTTACCGACCTGTTCTCAAATCTGGGTTATTGTAATGTGTCTCCATGATGATCAAAACTGGGTCACCGGGTGAGCTGAGAGAGTGGCCAACATGAGCCGGGTAGTCGAAAGCCTGGAAAAGGAAAATAAAAAAAAATTGTCAAGAAATTTGTTCAGAGGAAAAAAAAATCAGGCAAGTGTAAATGCAAAAATATGCAAACACAATTTGGACGATGAACCCCCCTCCATGAATTCCTTACATCACAACTTAAGTGACGGGCCTCCATGAATTCCTTACATCACAACTTAAGTGACGGGCCTCCATGAATTCCTTACATCACAACTTAAGTGACGGGCCCCCATGAATTCCTTACATCACAACTTAAGTGACGGGCCTCCAGGAAACGTTATATTATAACTTAAGTACACGCTTGGGACACAAGTCGTTTTCAGTAGTTAATTTCAACTTTAAATTGCTCCCCTGAATGTATCTCGGTACTATCAGTCCCGATTGGTTCAGTTTTCTAACAGCATCTCCGACTGCCCAAGAGATTGATGAACATTATTGAGATGGCAACGTGAATAGACACACGCACCAACCAAAGGCGAATTGAATTATTAATGACCTCACATTGTTTACCTGCTCACCAACTGCCCAGGTCACCAAGACATTTCTTACCTGACCACCAACTGCCCAGGCCACCAAGACATTTCTTACCTGACCACCAACTGCCCAGGAAACCAAGACATTTCTTACCTGCCCGCCAACTTCCCAGGTCACCAAGACATTTCTTACCTGCCCACTAACTGCCCAGGTCACCAAGACATTTCTTACCTGCCCACCAACTGCCCAGGCCAGCAAGACATTTCTTACCTGCCCAAAAACTGCCCAGGCCACCAAGACATTTCTTACCTGCCCACCAACTGCCCAGGCCACTAACACATGCTCACACCCCATCAGTTCCTTGGGCGCCTGATCGTAGCACATGAAGGAGGTCCCCACATAAGAATCACTTTTGTTGCCGGAGCAGTAGTACAGCAGGATGTGGTGGACCAGCTGCTCGTGGCCAGGCTGAATAACCGGCTCGTACTGGTCAGAGAGATGAAGTTGGGTCATTGTTATCAAGATGGCAGTATAGCACTAACTATGGCTTGTTCAATTCATCATTTAAATAGTCAAAATGATTCAATGTTATAAAAATGTTTACACCTTTATATATATGTATATATTTAAACGCGATATTTGTGTTCATTTAATAATGGGTTTCGTATTACGTACATTCACGTAAAAAAACCAAAACAGCGAAAACGTTTTATTTTCTGGGAGAAGAGAGTATATTGTTTCAGTGAATATCATTTCCGCTTTCATATCATTTGTTGTTGTCATGGTTTTGGCTGAGTAAACGTGGATCGGATGACGTCACCGTGAATTGAGAAATTATTCAGAGTAATTGTATACATTTTTTTTTTTTACAAAACTTCATTCTTGGGTCTATTTGAAAAAACCCAACTTTACTCATAAAAATAAACTACAACACGTGACATCCGAATAGCATTTAGTCAAAAAGAAAACCGGAAACGCATCGCCGCTATTCGGACCCGGGTCCCCTTAGACTTCAATGCTATTCGGATGTAGTTTGACGTAGTTTATTTTAGTTAAACTGAAGAAGTAAGTTTACAAACATATATTCCATTCAATTATCTTTCAATCGATACCAACTTTTATCCTACAAACCCAACAATAATACTTTAAATATTTTTTTAATAAACCCAACCTCTCACTTCTGGTACGGGGTCCGCATAGCCGCAGCCTTTCCTTATATTTTAGATTTCAAGCAGCGTTGGCAAAATTATTAGGAATGGATACGTGAAATTTCGGTAGGAAGGCTTCGGCCGCTCTCGTATCCGAATTTACGTCATCGCGGGGCGCGTTAAATCGGGGTTCTCACTTAATTGTTCAAACACCGTTTCTATTTCATGCCGCATGAATTCATTCGTGCTCAGCCTCTAACAGATCACATCCAGCTCACCCTGATCATGTGGTGCTTCTGGCCTAGATCTGGAATCTTGTACACCTGGCACCTGTAGTATGTGTCTGCCCCAGGCACTGAGAACTGGCGTGCATCAGAATAACGATTGACAAAAGTATTGTATACATTGAGAAAGTATGATTAACGTTAAGAAAGTTTTATAAACATTCAGAAAGTATTATAAACCTTAAGTATTGTAAACATTCAGAAAGTTTCATAAACATTGAAAAAGAATTATAAACATTTTGAAAGTATTATTAACCTTATTATTAAAAAAAGTATTATAAACATTGTGTCAAGACCATTAATCGCAACGTTCTCGCCTTAAAAAGTATTAGAATGGCTACAATGTGAGAATGGCTACAGTGTAAGAATGGCTATAGTATGAGAATGACTGGAGAAATTTGACGCAGTGGATAACATTTCATGAAGACGAAGTCTCTTGTCACGTACAGCTCTTTGTTCGTCAGTTCAGAAAGCGATGGTTTCAAATTAAAATTAAATGGATACACATTTGATATGCTCGAAGAAAATGGAATAGGTCAGAAAGAAAAAAAAGTGGTCGGAAAATGTTTATTTAAATTTTTTATAAAATTATATCTTGTAAGTAAACTAAAACAAAAGATCTACAATTTTGAAAAAATCTTGTCAGAGACTTTTAGAATTAAAACAACAACAAACAAAAAAAAATAAAAAATAAAATAAAATAAATGAAAGTGAGTTCAGAGCATGGCAAATAGACTCTTGAGCTAACTTGGGCTACATAGGGTGGTAACATTAATTAGATTTAAATACTCCCTCACATTCCGATTCAGGAAGTCAACGGTGATGACGTCATCGGGTAGTTTGACCGAGTTCTCCTCACTGGCCGGCGGGTCCAGCATTAAGATTGACCGGGTGCCGTACCGTCCAGTGCCGTGGAAGCCGATGGCGTCACCGGCAGTTGGGTCGCTGGGATGGTAGCTGTAAATGACCCTCGTCGTGCCATTCTGTGATGGACAGTAGCAAAAATATATACGACACACTCATCGCCGTACATCAAAACATAGTTTAATGTTCACCATGATTGAATCAAATAGAGTTGGTATAGTTAGAAAATCATTGAAACCATACAACAGGGTTGAATCAGTCCTAGATCGTATTTGGGTGGCTATCTATTGGGCTAGCCATTGGGTGAGTCACTGGGTTAATTATTGGGTCAGTCACTGGATTAGTCATTGGATTATTCATCGGGCTAGTCATCGGGTTGTTAACCATTGCATTATTCATGGGGCCAGTTAATGAATTAGTTAGTGGAATAGTCATTGGATTTGTCATTGGATTAGCCATTGTATTATTCACGGGGCTAATTATTGGATTAGTCATGGGACTAGTCATTTGATTATTCATTGAGTTATTCATTGGGTTATCCATTGGATTAGTCGCGGGTGCCATTCATTGGATTAGACATGGGATTATTGGATTATTCATGGAGTTAGTCATGGGGCTCTCACCAATATTGGCAGGTCTTCAGAATCACAGGTCACCAGTTTTCGTATGAAGGTCAAGGTCGTGAAATCTCCAACCTCAGTTCCACTCAAAAGAAACCAGTCTTGGTGGACGTCTTGGGCGGGCAAGAAATGGCCCTCTGCGTGGCGATCCTAGAGGTCAAGTGATTTTGAAACGATATAATTAGAAAGTAAATATTTTATATATGTGTGACGAACACAATAAATGTAAAAAAAAAAAACTACTTAAAAAGATACCCATGCCGCCCATTCCCCCCCCCCTACCCATAACAAATAATTTAAATGAAATAATTAGGAACCCGATAGTTACAGAGAAACCAAAACAACTGATTCCTTGTTGATAACCCCAGACCCATGACCCGTGACCCCTGTAATGAATACTTTTCATCCACTACAAATCCCGCTTGCTGTTTATAGGCAAGCGTCTCAAAACATGTGACATATGTGTCAGACCCAAAAGACACATTTCTCCAAACCTTAACTTAATCATATGTTTCAAACCCAAAAGAAACATTTCTCCAAACCTTAGCCATATGTGTCAAACCCAAAAGAAACATTTCTCCAAACCTAAGCCATATGTATCAAAGCCAACGGGCACATTTCTCCAAACTTAGGCATATGTGTCAAACCCAAAAGACACATTTCTCCAAACTTAGACATATGTGTCAAACCCAAAAGAAACATTTCTCCAAACTTAGGCATATGTGTCAAACCCAAAAGACACATTTCTCCAACCCTAAGGCATATTTGTCAAACACGTTTCCAACACTAGGGTACATGTCTTCGACCCTAAAAGCACTTGTCTCGAAAACTGTCTTGTAAAATGAAAATGTTAATAAAAAGAATTTGGGCGATTAATGTTAGATAACAAAAACTATGTTCATGAACAGTGAGTATAAAATGAACGTTACACAAATGAAATAAGACAAAAAAGGTGACGAAGAATAACCTACGGCAAAATAAGACTGGCCGTCCTTGACCCAGCCGATTATGACGTCAGAATTAGCCATGGCTCCATTTGGGGAAATTCCAAAGCCAATGTAACCTATGTCAAAGTTTGGATGAGAAACAAACACAAGTCAAATGCCGGTTGGTTGGTGTTTGTTTTTGTTTTAAATCTCCTGTCATTATTTATTGATCGTTCAATGTTGACATTAGGTATGTGTGCTTTAAGTGGAGTGCTCTAATGTCGTCCCGTTTTTATAATTTCTTGATTAAATGTGTGCGTGTTTTGAGAGCAGGTCATGGAAACAAGATATCATCGGAGAGTGTAAGAGGTTTAAGGATTGGCGGGTGTAAGAAAGCCAGGTTTTAAGTATGTAAGGATTTAAAATTGTAAGGATCTAAAAATTTAAGGAGATCGGATGTGGACATTTGTTATATTAAAGTTAAAAGTGCAATTTTGATGTAAACTTGTAAAATAACTGACATGTCGGCCCTTGCATTATCGGGGCCACAATTTGGACTGATACAAGTTTAGGCTTACAATTTTAAAAAAAAATGTTTCAGCCAATCACGTTGTTAGATTAGAAAAGAAAACTAACACCCACTTATTTCAATATTTAACGCAGGACTTTACCTCACAATTCATTCATCACACACACGTGCCGTTCAATTGATTTGTCCCGATGATTTAGCGTTATATTGATTTCCGCCTGAATGCAAATTGACTGGACAAGTGGGTGTTAGATTTTGTCAATGAAATCGCGTGTAAATGACAAGGTACATTTTGAAATTACATTTTAAAGACTTATCAGAATGTTTTAACAGTGTGTCGCGGATGGCACAATGTGCCAGGACACACAGTTCACCACGCCCCGTTACCGTTCGTCTTGACGTGGGTGCGGAAAATGATGTGTGTGGTGTTGAAGTTCCAGAACAGCTCGTAGGCGTCATTCAGCTGGACGTGGTACGGGAATTGGTCGTCTGTGAGGAGGCCTGCACAATGTAAACAATACTACAGGGAACCTGTTCTATTCGCTTTACATTATAAATTGGGTTTCAGACAAATCATTTGAAAGCCATAATCCTTTATTTATTTTTTTTTGTTTATTTGTTTAAGTTCCTTTGAATTTTCTCATATTTGATTAATTTTTAAATCACATTTAACTCTTGGATTGTTTAGACATAATCAACTTTCCATAGACATTTTTAAGATGCTTCAAAACATATTTACCAAACTTATAATGGAAAACACGGATTTTAAAACTTTATTTTCTTTCATGATTAGAACAGTGTTGTGTGTTCAATTACACTTTACAAATAGCATAAGCTTTTTTTCTCCATAATATAAGAGTTTATTTTTTTATAATAGCTGGATATTATACAACTAAATGGCCGCATGAAGATCCACTCGGAAAGTAAATTGTATGAATAGTGAACGACACTCTGGTACTCGGTTTCTTAGGTACCGCGACATAAAAGAATTATTAGACACACATTAGGGGTAAAACTAAATAGTGGTGGTTACCGGAAATTTGATCGAAAGAAATTTCGTCGACGGTAAATTGATCGACGGAAATTTGATCGAAAAGAAATGTGGTCGAATCTTTTTTTCAATTAACACGTTAAAATGTTCGTCAAAATCCTTTTTGAACGTACTATACTATATAATGCGTTCAAAAAGAAATTTGAAGCAAAATTTTAACATAAAAACTGAAGAAAAAAATGATTCGACCAAATTTCCGTTCGATCAAATTACCGTCGATCAAATATCCGGATAGGGAAACTGCTTTGCAATTTTAGCTGTGTTTTCATTGGAAAGTCATCTCCTTTATAGAAGTTAAAGATTTGAAAGTCAACTTATTTTTTTAAGTTAATGATTTAAAATCAGATACTTTATAGAAGTTAATGATTTGAAAGTAAGTTACTTTTAAGTCAATGCTACATTTGAAAGCCCGCTACTTATAATTCAATGCTACATTTGAAAACCAGCTGCTTTTAAGGTCACCGTAACACTAAAATGTTCTCACCATCTCTGCTGGTGCCGCCAGCCGGTATCACGAGTGCTTGACATTCCCAGGCCAGCAGAGCCACCGTCCAGATAACAGAGGCTTTCATAATCACTGGAGAGGGATCAAGTGGTATTATGTCACGCTGGGGGGTTGCACACGAATCGACCTCGGGCTGGAGACTGTTTCTGACATCATAAACACACATTTAAATAGAAGAATTCTTTACGTGGGAATTGGGTCCTGTCACGGTTATACAACTTTTTAACAAAAAATATACCGTTAGATTTTATTTTATAAATACATATTATCAGAGAGTCAAAAGAGTTGAAACTTTGTGATTAAAATAATTGAAGTATTGAAAAATCAATCGAACATGAACGTTTTAAGAAAGATGCAAGACGGGGGACAGGCTATTCGACCTACAACAACAACAACGCTAAATTTGATATCAACATCGTAATGTAGCATGTGCACTCTAACACCTCGTGACCTATCCAGGGCCGTACAAAGGAAGGGGACAAAGGGTGCACTCACCCCGGGTGCCAAACTTGTCCTTAGCTACGACCTGTAAATGGACTCACAGGTAAAAAGCCACGCACTTATTTTTAACGTTTTTATAAAGCTTAATTATAATGGTCCTTCCCAGGCGGAACGTTGATTTATATTGGAGGGCGTCATTTTCAGGCATCGCCCCAGGCGCCGCGTTTACCCCAGTACCCATCAGTAAAACAAGACAAACACTTTACAATAGAAGAAGGCGACGTCTGGTCGGTTTTAAAGAGTCTGCCGGCCTATTACTTTCTTAACTACATTGGACATAAAAGAAAATGTATCTGACCTGTTACGAAAAGAAGATTAGTAGCATCGATTTCTTTAGCAAAAAGAAAGAAAAACTTAACTGGTAAAAGCCCGCAAAACGTTGGTGACAGCAATGGGTCAACGTCCCATCTACTTAAGTTACATCACAAAACATGAACTCCAGTAACGCACATTTAGGAATCCCAATTTTTGCTACAGCCTCTCTCTCTCCCTTTTCCAACCCAACTTTCCAATGATACGTCACTGCACAGTTATCATTTAGCGTAGTTATCAAGGAATTACGTTTTTCGCTCCATTGAACTGACTATCGAACCATACTTTCTTTCAAACATAGAAAATTATATGTAACTAGATATTGCCCGCAAAACATTGGCGCCAGCAATGGGTGAACTTCCCATCAACTAAAAGTTACTTGACAAAAACATGAACTCAAGTAACGCACATTTAAGAATCCAAATTTTCGCTACATCCCTTCCCCCCATGATACGTCGCTGCACACTTTTTATTTCACGCCAGTGAACTATATTAAATGTTATTATTTCCCAACTACTTTTAAACCGAATACTTTTATATAATACTGAAATTGAGATGATTTCATTTTCCGAAAAGAAAATATTTCGCACCAAACGCAGATGCATTTAAAAAAAAAAATTAGTGTAGTTATCGGGAATTAAATTTTGCGCGCTGTTGAACTCACTATTGAACCATAGTTTCTTTCAGACATAATATAGAATTATTTGTAATATACTCTCGATACCAAATACGCTGAATAGGAAGCAGCCAGAAGTGGAAGCAGAAACAATCCACGAGTCACACCGAAAGCTCAATATATATAAGAGCTATCAAACATGTTGAGGAGATGCGGGCCGGTTAGGATTAGTTGGGAATAGGAAGCAGTCGGAAATGGAAGCAGCCACACCACAAGAAAAACATATATAAGAGATTGTTGACATAAATAGTTGATTTAAATTTAAATTAAAACGCTGAATCACAATTTATAAAATATAGGAAAACTATCAAATGGAACAATGGAATGATTTAAGAAAAATTCTGTACCTGATAATAGCGACACGAAGACTCTATAAGACGGTATCACCGAGCTGCTAAGACTTTATGACGCTATAATACGGTACCACCAGGCTGCTAACTCTTTTTATAAGCAAACACTGTGTCACGTCGGAATAAGCCTGCACGAGAATGTACCAAGGTCTTGAAAAGCCACTCTGGGTAACGTTGGGGGAAAAAAATTGAAAGATTATGTACCAAGGTCTTGATTCAACTCGGATCATGCGATTATCATGTTGTATTATAATTACGCATCAAGTAAAACAACAAATATCACCTGACTATCTCTCTCTCTCTCCCTCTCTCTCTGTGTTTCTGGCACGGGTATCACTGATGTGATATTTGAAGAATCTCTTGGTCTTAGTGCAGGTAATGATTGTGATATTTTAATGCATTTGTCTAGGTATGGGTATTTCTGTGACATCTAAGTCCCCTGGTCTTCTTACAGTTATTGCTAATGTGATATTTGAATCCCTTAGTCTTGGTACAGCTATGACAAACAGAAACGAAACCACGCATTTTGTGACAAGTTTGGATCGCGACCAGTAACACCTTAAAGAAAATTTTACTGAGTTACTTCCATTGTAAATTACGCTGTAATTATCTGTAAATTTCTAAAAAAACAATAAAAAAAAAATTTAAAAAAAAAAAAAAAAAAAAAAAAACAAAAAAAAAAAAAAAAAACAGAAAAACAGCAGCAACAACAAAAACAAGGTGCACAGCAGAATTGTAAAGCTGTTTAACTAGTACAGCCACATTATATTTAATAAAATGTATATTAGTTTATAGACATGTTCCAAGAGTGCTGAAATAGACATTTCCAAGGGTGCTGTTTTAGACATGTTATAAGAGTGCTGTTATAGACAAGTTACAAAGAGTGATGTTATATACATGTTACTAGAGGGCTGTTATAGACATGTTACTAGAGTGCTGTTATAGACATGTTACAAGAGTGCTGTTATAGACATGTTACTAGAGTGCTGTTATAGACATGCTACAAGAGTGCTGTTATAGACATTTCCAAGAGTACTGTTATAGACATGCTACAAGAGTGCTGTTATAGAGATGTTTCAGGAGTCTACTTAAAATTCCTAAATATCTGAAATATTGAGTGCAAGGGCAGATTTGTAAAAAATATGTATATATTTAAAAAAAAAAATTTGAGTGTTGTTCTTTTGACCCTGAAGATGACAAAAATACGCTAGATAACTAAAATAGCACCATTATTAATCTTGATAATTTAATAATTATTTTATCAAGATTCAGAATTTTAAAAATCAAATCAGAGGACGTAATCATATTCCGAAAGATTTTTTTTAAAACTCCTTTATTATCAACGTCGGTTTTGTTCTTGGGCTGCTGGCTAAGAAAATCTTCGGACGGCTAATTGACCCACTTCTTGTCAGCCTATGGAGATGAAACTAGGCACATAGACTCGTTGCCAATGACAACACAGTCTTTCAAATGTTCAACCCCCACCTACCACCCAAACCCAACCCCCCAAAAATATTTTCCCCCTGTTTTTCATGGGGTAGATAATTTAAACTGCCCCCGCCCCCCCACCAAGGCCGGTTCACCCGGAGCCCCCAGCACGTGCCTAGTCTTTCCACACCATAGCTACGCCTCTGTTTGTTGACCATAATTTAAGCCGTTAAACCTCCTAGACTAACGCCCACTACAAAAACCTAAGGGTTAATCTTGAAGAGTTCTGCCGGCGATTCTCGAACGGTCTACTTTTTGCCCTGGCATCACCTGATAACACCTGTACTTGGTCCAGTTTCTCTCTTAGGGACATGTACCGAGTTGGGTTGTTGATTTCTTTTTTTTTCAATGTTGAACTCATTTAAATCTGACTTATTTCATTTCATTTGTTTCTTTAGTCGCGGGGCACTTGACTGATTTCATTTCATTTGTTTCGTGAGTGGCGGTGCACTGGAATAATTGTATTTCATTTATTGCATTTATTTCTTTAGTACAGGTGCACTTGACTGATTTCATTTTATTTATTTCATTAGTCGCAGTGCACTTGACTAATTTCATTTTATTTATTTATTTATTCGCGGTGCACTTGACTAATTTCATTTCATTTATTTATTTAGTCACGGTGCACTCGACTGAATCATTTCAATTATTTATTTAGTCGCGACGCACTTGACTAAATATGTTGTTTTGTGGTTTTTTTGTCAGTCTCGGTGCACTTGACTGATTTCTGTAGCATTAGAATTGCCTTTTTCAGTCATGATTTTGTGGGTGGGTGGGGGGTGTGTGGATTTTTTTTTTTTTGGTTGGGGGTGGGGGAGTGCTGTAGAAGCAAAATTTCCATTGTAGCTGGATATGCTGGATATGCTGGATATGTCTTGTTATGACAGATTCTTTATTAGTGATGTGTAAATCTAAATTTAGAAATTATAGGTCATTGCCATAACCGTGGAAAAGATAAGAAAAAATAAATCTGGCTATAGATTTTGACAATGAGTTGATAATCTTGTGACTACGGGCTTTGGTCCCGCTATCTGAAGTGGTGGGGCAATTTGTTAGTACGACTTCAAGTCGTAAACATAGAGGTATAGTTTTTTTTTTTTCGTAGTTCCCTTGCACAACCTTTTTCTTGAATGTCAGAGTTCACCTTGTAAACACGTCTACATGGAGTACTCACGTTTGAACTAGCACGTTGTGAGATGTCTCCATGGGTTTTGTTTGAGGGAAAGATTAACTCTTTATGATAAATCCATGTTCAATAAAGTTGTTTCTTCTTTCTTTCTGTGACTATGTGTTTTTTGTTAAAATTGTCATTTTCCTGCTACATTCCTGTTGCTTGTAAAAAAAAAAAAAAAATCTTTACAATGTTGTGTCAAGAAATAGAAGTTTTAAATTAAATAATACTACAGGCATGAATGGTTAATAATGGGATGTGTTGGGATGTATGACAATGTCAATTAGAGACCGACCGAGTTTCGGTTTCGGCGCCAAAAGTGGCCATTTGATCACTTTCGGCCTAATTTCCGTTTCGGCCGAAACCAAAATATTCCATTTTGGTTTAATTTCGGCCGAAACTGAAATGTTAGCTTTCGGTTTAATTTCGTTTTCAGCCGAAGGTGTTTGGGACTTTCGACCATCTGGCCGAAAGTGACTGGTGTTTTTGGTCATCTTTCAAGGTCAGACAGTCTGTCTCTAGGCTGGCAATCCGATATTCATTATTGCTGGACGTCTATGAGTCATCGTATGTTATATGACTAATACTCTGCGAAAACTGCCAACAGCTGCATGATGACCTACTTGCCCTTTTTTCCCCAAAACATCAAACTGTAATTAGGCCAAGGCAAATGTAAACAGTTTTGTGGAAGAAAACTTAGTGGAATGGTAATATTAGATATCATTATTTTTGTTTTAATTTTTTCAAAAATAAAATTTGGAACCCTAGGTTTATTCAATTCTTTCATTTGTGATATTCATTTTGATTTATCATTATCATGCTCATCAATTTTGTCATAGGAAAATCTGAATAATATTGCATAATGGTAATATTTCTCCTATTATTTTTATTTTATATTTTTTTTTTAATTAAGGAAACCTAAGCTTTTTCAATTCATTCATTTCTTGAAATTCATCATTATCATAAACATTGTTATTGACAAAATAACAAGTGTGTGCATGTATCACTGGCTTGTGTTATAATTATGTAGTAGGTGTACTGTAGTAGGTCTGTTTACTTGTATGATGTAGGCGACCAATTGAGATGCCTTGCAATTCTCTGTCGAGACCCGTCAGAAGAACTTTTTTTTTTAGAGACCTGGTTTAAAAAAAAAAAATCCCCCATCAATGGAGGCGAGGGAAGTTGGTCACCGAACGAAATAATTACGTCACCAGCACGGTAAAACTAATGTGTTGGTACTAGGCTAAATGTTAATACAGTGATATCTTGCCAGCTATTCATGAAAACATAAAGCATTAGTATGACGAAAACCGCGAAACATTGTGGTGATATTTCTATAGCCTTAATAACTGATTTTTAGGTGACAATTTGTTTCATTAGAGCCACAATAATTTTTATAGGTATATGTTCTAGATTGTAATTATATTATAAAAGAAAAGCGCACTCAAGGGTCTATTTTTCATGAATCCCCCCCCCCCAACCCCGTCCAATTTTTCTCTTATCATACTACTTTTAAAAAAAATTTAAGAAATTTAAATTTTATAGGTATATGTTCTAGATTGTTATTATATTATAAAAGAAAAGCGCACTCAAGGGTCTATTTTTCAAGAATCCCCCCCCCCCCCAACCCCGTCCAATTTTTCTCTTATCATACTACTTTTAAAAAAAATTTAAGAAATTTAAATTACTTTGAAATTAAAATAGTAAAAGCCAAAGTATTCATTAAATGATTATTTATTAATATTAACGATTAACTCATTAAAACAAAAAAGAATGTAAATATTGATAGTTTCCCCCACCATTTTGTTTTATGTATGTAAAAAGTATGCGTGGATGAATTTCACAATGCCAAAATATTTCAATTTCGGCCGAAACTGACTCGTTAACTTTCGGTTTAATTCGGTTTCGGCCAAAAGTATTTTTAAATTTCGGCCAAGTTTCAGTTTCGGTCGAAATCAGACAATCACTTTCGGTCGGTCTCTAATGTCAATAGCCATGGATGTTGTCTATGGGCAGTGATTTTAATAGTGTCAACTTTCTGTTATTTTATTTTTTTAAAGGCTGCAACTATTCGCACCCGGGTACCAGAAATGAGTGGTTCGGATTTTAAAAAAAAACTATTAAAAATATTATTGTTGAGTTTGTAAGACAAAATGAGGTATCAAATGAAAGATAATTGAATGGACTATATGTTTGTAAACGTGCTTCTTCAGTTTAACTAAAATAAATTACCACAAAATGCCATCCGAATAGCATTGGTCTAATGGGACCCGGAAGCGAATGGCGGCGCTGCGTGTCCGGGGCCATTTGGACAAAATGCAATCGGGCCACTTCTTGCCCTGATACCACTTGGATTTGGTCCAGTTGTTCGAGCGGTCATGCCCCAGGCTTTTTATTTTGTAACTGTAGAACTTTTGACAGCTTTCATTTCATTTTATTTTTTTTTTGCAAATTCCTGCCCCGTAATCTGATTTCTCTGCGCAATACTACTATAACCTTTTCCCTTCGTGTTTGTGGGGAAACTAATGGGGAAGGGATGATAACCATAAGTTTAACCTGATGAGTGTGAATCTATTAGACATTCTTTATTAGTGATGTGTACATCTAAATTTAGATATTTTTCGTCGGTATCTTACCGGGGTAGTGATAAGAAAGATGAACATACTTTGCTTCAAACAATTGTTATGAAAATCTCGTGACTACGGGTATTGGTCTCAAAATAGGAAGTAGTATAACAATAGAATAAGTTAGGGTGACTCAAAATCATAGACACTGATATGGCCGTGGTCCCCCAATCTTGATAAGGGTATCGCTCCCTTGGGGGGCCATAGAATATATCTCACAGCCCCCCCCCCCCCCCCCCCCCCCCCCCTGTTA